GAGTTTTCCATCTATCTATACACCCGGTGTTTTTTCTTTTTCTTCTTCTTCTTTTGCTCTCTTCTTTTTTTTCTTTTTGTTCACTCACTTAGCTGCATGTCTGGGACTCCTTCGCCTTGCGCTTCAGCTGCTTTGTGATGGCTGCCGCACACGGCTTGTACGACTTACGGTGAATGGAGGAGACCCCGTATCGCTGCACGGCACGCATGTGGCACTCCACGGGGTAGCCCTTGTTCTCCGCAAACTGGTACCTGGGATACAGCGTGCTCACGTAGTTCATGACGTCATCGCGTGCCACCTTCGCAAGGCACGAGGCCGCAGCTATTGTCAAGCTCCGCTTGTCACCCTCAATGATGGGTTGCACGCACCCGCCGGTTTGGATGTCGGTAAAAAAATTTAGTGTCTCCTCGGGGGCAGCGTGTCCGTCGACCAGAACCAGGGGCGGCTGCACTGGCTCCATATCAAAAAAATCTGTCGCCCCCCGCACAAGCTCAACGTGCGACGGGACCACATAACGTTTTTGATAGTCGTGGGGGGCAGCGACGCAGTAGCGCGAAAAGAGGTATTGTGCGATGGAGCAATGCTTCGGCCGCGGCGCCCTTTCAAGGGAAAAGCGCGTATCATTCAACATGCGCCAAATAGCAAAGCAGGAGCGGTGCATTGTGCGCATGGAAGACACATAAATGTTGGCCATATCTATATACGCGTGATTCGCCATACCAATCGCCCACAAGTATAAATAATTCCCACATACGTTTTGGCCATGGTATGAGATTAAATACGGCGTCTGCATTGACAGGAGTTTCTTGAATGGAAGCTTCTGCAGCTTGATGTGGGACGGGAACCGCTTTGTCAGGACGTTGTCCGGCGCAGCGTCACCACTTGCGTGATGCACCACAAACGCCTTGTCCGCGACTAAATCAAATAGCGTCTCGTAACCTGTAATGTTCTGGAAAACCACATTGCGCTGTCCCTCGGACAAGGACTTACTATCAAAGATCTGGAACTCCTCCCGCGCGTCATACACGGCGCTCAGTTCATTGTTAAAGCTAGAGAGTGGAATGCGACACACGGCGGCGCCCACCACCGGGCCTGCCAGCGGCCCTCTTCCAGCCTCATCGCAGCCAATAGTGAGGTACGTCTCCTTGATGCTCCGCCGCAGCACTACACCATGCTTACACATGCGAGACTCCGCCTGAGTACGCTCCTTCGGCGCCTTCCGGGTGTCTGCCAGAGCGTTTGTAATCATTTTCTGCTGCTGCTGCTGCTGATACGTGCGGAAAGAGGAGAGCGGCGGCAACAGCAACCCGTCACGGAATAGCTGGTAGCCGACGATGTCTAATGTGCCATCAAGCGTCGACAAACCCTCCACAGTTTTCCGCATCGGCAGCTGCAGCCTCTGCAGGGGGTTCCATGGCGGCTGCCGATCGTGCAACACCCTGTTCAGCCTGTGCCAGCGCGTCGCCGAGCGCCGGAGCACGCCAGCAAGAAGCAGCGGCGAGGGTCTAAAGCACGCCATAACCTCTGAGAAGGCAGAGGGGGAAAAAGAAAGAAGTTTTTTTTTTCCACAGACACGCGCGAGGAGCCGTACGGCAGGGAAAGTTGAAATGGCCTCGGCCCTACTTTTCCCCCTATAGAAGATGCACGCAGCAAAAAATAAAAAAATAAACATTACTCAGTGTAATTTCCACGCATTGGCATAGACTAGAGGAAGTTCATTGCAGTAAATACCCGCAAGGCGGTCCGATTCGGCCACTGCGCATTGCCCCTCAGCATTAAATGGCTGACAGCGCAGAGGGTGCCCGCAGGCGACTTCAGCCCGCCCCTCCACGTAGTGGGGAGGGGGGCGGAGACGGCTGGGTTGAGTGGGCTTTCAACACGTGCCCCTTCCGAGAACTCCCCACGGTGGCAAAGTTAACCCAGACGTACGATTCCGGGAAACCCGGAGAAAAGCAAAGCGGGCAGTGACGCAGAGCACAGCCAGAGAAAAAGTAGGAGGAGAGAGAGATAGATAGAGTTAAAAATAAACAAGTTACGTCTACATAACGCGACAGCGAGAGAGAGAGAGAGAGAGACCCACGGAGGCTTCACAGCACAGGAAGCAGCTTATTGTCTCAAGCGGTGCGGTTTGATTTCATACTTGCATTGGAGCGGTAAACCGCCGCAGTCAAGTGGGGGATAATGGCGTAGGGGTCTGCGGCAATGTATGTGCTTCCAAAATACTCCAACGCCCCTGTGTCGCTGCGCGGATCCAATGCACTACCGCGGTCAATTACGCGAAAAATTGCTGGTATTTTCCCCAGGCTGTAGTTATTCGACGTATCCAGGGGCGGGTAGGAAATGGCAAAACTAAAACTATGTACGCCAGCAGCATCGCGGAGCGTCATCAATGCAAGAGCAACCGCGCGGGCAAAGGAGGGATCTTCAGGGTCCTTGCTTAGCACAAACAGTTCCCGCTCTTTGCGGGGACACACGCTGGAGAGCACGGTACTGTTGCCAACGCGAACCGCAAGGCCAAGCATTTGATGTACAAGAACAAGTTCATCCCAGTAACTAGTTCCATGCCTCTCCGAGTATTGCACCGCTGCACGCTGAAGCTGGTCAATACCAGCGAAATAGTGACCTCTCGTTAAGGCCATTTGCACATGGAAGTGGATTTGGGAAGCAGACGCTCTTTTGCCGACATCGCAAATAAGGTTCGGGTACACGTAAAGGAGATCCTCGCGGTGGGCCCTCTTGAACCATCGGTGCGACACAGCAATGATGTCTGCAATGACATCCGCATCAAAGAGCAAGGGATTATGCACGTTAGTGATAATAAGACCGTGCCACTTACTAAGTTTGGCGACATTTGCTGCTGTGTACGCATGCTTGCCAGTTATGCGACCAAATATATCATGGGCTGTCCGCTGCTTGTCGCAGAAGTCGCACAAGTCAGCTCCACTGCCTTCTGTGTAAAGCTTAGACACCGACATCCGTTCCTTCGCGTCACCACCATTGCCGCCGCCGCCGCCGGGCCGAAATCTGCGGATGCTGTTAAACAGGGCCGTCTCGCCGGTAACCACATTGCGCACCTCCACCACTTGCTGATTTTCGATGGCACGCAGGAGTTCCTCGCGTGAGCCCGCGTAGGCAGAAAACATTTTCTCTGCCCTGGCGCGGAACTCAGGCATGATCGACAAACGCGCAGAATCGTTGCGAACTGTGTAGAGACGCTCAAAGACTTCCCTCGCGCGAGGGAGCCGAGCCAACACTTCCGCCAGTGATTCGACAGAAGAAATCGTATCGTGCAACTGCAGCGGCACATCATCCGTGGCAGCAAAGGCTTTCCCAAGCAGCGGGTCCCGCGGGCGCGGAAGGGAACTGACCACGGTGAAAAGAAGCAACACAAAGCCCGAGGTGACAATAACGATGCGCACCCACCGCAACTGCAGTGGGAAGGGGTACCTTGAAGACGCCGTCTTTCCCATGCTTCTCTGCGGGCGATGCGTCATGCCTTGTCGTCGTCGTGGCTGTTGTTGCACAAAGAGAGCTAAGAAGAATAGTAAGAAAAAAAAGCCAAAACACCCGGAGAAACCAAGACGGAACCACATGAGGCAGAAAAGACAGAAAGAGGTGTCGGAGGCCTAACCCAACGCAAAAATAATAACACTGTCACCGGGCGAAGCGGAGTCGCCACACGCGGCCCGGAAAGCAATGGGGGCGCAAGGCCGTTTTTTCTGATTAGCTGCAGTATTATTTCTTACAAAAGCGGAAGAAAAAAAAGAGATAGAGCGAAATAGAGATATAACCCACTTTTTTCGATGAGGAAGCGCTACAATGGCTTGGGGCGCTTCTCGGATGCGAGGGCCTTGAAGCGGCGCTTGATCGTGATGCGGTGCCGGCTGTATTTGTCGTCAGGGCTAAAGCGGGCGGGGTGGGCGCTGAGCGTCGGTTTGCCCTCTGGGTCCATCTTCTTCAGCGTATATTGGCGCTTGCCGTCAACGATGTACACTTGCAGGTGCATTACGCGCAGTCCCGCTGCTCCTTTCCTTTTCCACTTCTTTTCTTCTTCCCCCGGTTTTGGGCGGTATCCACTAATGCGTGTCTGTCGCTTC